GGCGACGATGAACGGCGACGATGAACGACGGCGATGAACGACAACGACGACGGTCGACGACGATGGCCGACGACGACGACGGACGAAGATGACGTACGACGACGACGAAGTACGAGAGACGACGAGGACGGACGACGACAGATGTCGGCGACGGACGGCGACGACAGACGGAGACGACGGACGGTGACGAAAACGGCGACGACGACGGTGAAGGCGATGAACGACGACGATGAACGACGACGATCAAAGACGACGATGAGTGAAAGCTATACACCACGACGATGCACGATGACGATACGCGACGACAATGCACGACGACGATAAAGGGCGACGATGAACGGTGACGACGAACGACGGCGATAGACGACACCGACGACGGACGACGACGACGGCCGACGACGACGGACGACGACCACGGACGACGACGACATACGACGACCACGGAGTACGATAGACGACGACGACGACGACGGATGTCGATGACGGACGGCGACGACGGACGGAGACGACGGACGGCGACGACGACGACGACGACGGCCATAACGACGATGACGACGACGACGGTCACGACGACGATGGCGACGACGGTCGCGACGACGACGACGACAACGACGGACGTGACGGCGGCGACGGCGACGGCGACGGCAAGGGCGAGGGCAACGGCGTCGACGACGGCGACAGCAACGATGAGTGCGGCGGTGACGGCGATGGCGACGGTGACGGCGACGGCGACGATGAAAACGACGGCTGTGACGACGACGACGACGACGGCGACGGCGACAACGGCGTCCGCGGCGGCGGCGACGGCGGCGACGGCGGCGGCGACGGCGACGGCGACGGCGATGGCGACGGCGACGGCGACGACGTCGAAGACGACGACGACGATGACAATAACGACGACCAAGACGACCACGACCACGAGGACCACGAGGACCACGACGACCACGAGCACGACGACCACGATGACGAACACGACGACGACGAGCACGACTAGCACAACGAGCACGACCACGACGATCACGACGACAACGACGGCCACGATGGCGACGAGGATCACGACGGCGACGACGACCACGACCACGATCAACAGGACGGCCACGACGACCACGACCACGACGAGCGCACCACCACGATGAAACGTGTGTCGATGAGTGCGTTGAATTGCACTTTCGGGCGCGGCCCTGCGCAGAAAGCCCGCTGGAGAGAGCCGTCCAAATCGCAAACTCGAATGATAGAATGCTTACCGGCTTCGAGCGAACCCTGCGTACCATAAACCCACCAAAGTTAGCCCAAAACCGCTAAGGTGTCGTGGTCGCGTTTGTCGTCGACGTTGTCTTTGTTGTCGTGGTGGTCGGGGCAGCGGTTGTGCAGAAAGGCGAATTTCAGTTATCATGTTCGTGAACGCTTCCGTTTTACAAAGTGTTTGCGTACGGTTTTTCGTTACCTTGGATGGTCTTCCATGTTTCGTGTTAGTAGGTTTTCGAAACGCCCGATGGCCCGAACGCAAAGTTCAGCTTTTGTTTTAATACGTTACTCGACGTCGCACAAGAAGCAATTTTGAATACAGTTTGCAAACAAGTAAGTAATCGAGAAACCATGTGTCCCGAAACATTCGAAAGCGGGGAATATGTTGTTCGACGCTCCTAGAGCAAGTCGGCGCATCCATTTCGAATCAAACAAACGAGAATTCTCGAAAGGTTGAAAAAACCAGCGGAACGGAAACGCAGCCAACGGAGCTCGAAATAGATCTCTGCGGAAACCTGAACGGCGCAGACGCCATCGAGATTCGCCGAAACGAAATCCCTTCAGAAATTGGCAGGATGGAGATGGGCTGAGGGAAGTCGAAGGGGAATATCTGAAGAGATCTCGTGGGGCAGGGATGGCGTTTCCTCTCCTCGCCTGCGCTTTTCTGCTCGTTTGCGTTACTCTGCGCATTTGTCTGCGCCTTTGCGCCTTCCCGCGCGCCAGTGCTGTCCTACGCGCCTCAAGAAATTTCCGCGACTGCGCTCCGCTATCCGCTTGTGATGAGAACAGAAATGCGCTCTCTTGAGAATTCCGCGCCGCCTGGTTCTGGAAGCATGTCGACGAACGCGTAACTCTGCTAAGTGCGCATGTGTTTCCTTGTGGATCCGCGTCTCTCTGCAGGCTCGCGTTCTTCTACTCTCTTTCCGCTGCGCCTGCGTCTTTTTTGCGCAAGATCTTCCGTTTCTGTTTCTGTGCGCGGTTGCGTTCCGTTCTGCGTTTTCGTTTTTGCGTGTTTCAGGTTGTTGCGCTCCTGAATTGATCTCCGTGCGCACGCGTTCCTCTGCGTTTTTTGTTTGTGCGCCTGCACTGCTCTGCGCTGTTGCGGTCTGCGATGCGTTTGCAGTCTTCCGCGCTTCGGCGTTCTCCTGTGCGTCGTCATTTCTTTGCGCACCCGCGCTCCCATGTGGTTTTGTGTTGCTACGCGTGCTTGCGGTTTTTGTTTCCCGCCTTCGTTGATCAGCGCTCCGCTGAGCGCCGGCGTTTTTTTTCCGCGGTAGTGTTGTTGCGCACACTTGCGCTCCTCTCTTCGTTTCTTCTCTGCGCGTCGGCATTCCCCTGAACGCAGGCGCATATGCGCCTGCATTGTTTCTACGCGCTTACATTGCTAAGTACGTTTCTGCCCCGCGATTTGTTTTAGGATACTCTATGTCAAGTTTCGTCGGTTGCTCCTTCGCCCTCCCGCTGGGGACGAAGAACATAAAATGTTTACTTGTTAAATTGTTGACACTTCGCGAATCCCCACTAGCCCATCCAGAAACGATGCCCAGAGGAATTGCCTCGATCAGGGAAGTGGGCAGCACACAGAGGAAGCCACGATGAGACATCTTGGGATATCTTGAGCCATCTTGGAGGTCATTTTGGGCTCTCCCAGGCGCTCTTGGAGTCATCTTAAGCAGTGCCCCCCCCCCCCGCCAACATCTGGCTAAAACCTTCGTAAAATCAATGATTTGACATTCTCGCCAAGGCCTCTTCGAGCATCTTGGGTGCCTCTGGGGGGTCTCTTGGGGCCTCTTGGGGGTCTCTTGGGGGCCTCCTGGATGCTTCTTGGGGGCCTCTTGGGGCCGTCTTGGGGCCATCTTGGGACCTCTTGGGGCCTCCTGGGCGCTTCTTGGGGCCATCTTGGAGGAGATCGATCAAACAAGAGGGGAGCATTAATTAGCGTCCCCCCCCCAGGAGGCCAACATGAGGCCAAAACCATAGTAAAACCAATGAGTTTGGCTTCCTCGCCGAGGCCGTTTTGGACGTTCCGACGACTCGCGAAACCTTTTGTCCAGGTCCATGGGGAGGGGGGAGGGGAAGGGGTAAACCCCTCCCCGAAGGGGAAGAAGGAGGGGTGGAAGAGGAAACTCCCTAAGCCACCGACGCCCAGAGGGCTGGTGGGATTACTTACGAATTGTTCGGTGCGCGTTTTCCGCGTCATTATTTTTACTTCGATTGTTCGGAAACAGATTTCGTGAAGATTTGCGGATTTCGGGAGTTGGACGGTTTACAAAAAGACGTCGATTGGAATCGCAAGAACGGCGCTTGCAGCAATCGCACGAACGGTGCACGGTTGTCACGCGAACAGCCCAGAAAGCTTATCATGCAAACGACCCAGGCCAATTGTTCGAACAGCCCAGTGTGAATCGCTCGAACGGCGTACGGCAGTCACGCGAACGGCCTGGAAAGCTTGTCATGTAAACGACCTGGACCAATCGTTCGAGCAGCCCGGTGTTTTGGGGGGCCTCTTGGGTCGTCTTGGAGCGATCTTGGGTGCCTCTCGGGCCGTCTTGAAGCGTCGGGAATCCGGAAAGGCGAGACTGCTAGAATCTCTTCAACCCATGATCGGAAAATCAATGCTTTGAGCCCTCTTGGGGTGCTCTTGGGTCTCTCTTCGGGCGGCTTGGGGGCCTCCCGGGCAGTCTTCAAACCATCTCTGACGTCTTGGAGAAATATTGCCAAGGCCTTGCGGCCGGTGCCGCCGGCCCTGAAGGCGGAACCTCCGCCGGGATTCCCGCTGCGGACCCCCGCTGGGACCACAGGGGGGGCGGTATTCTTACCCAGGACCCCACCCACACACACCCGCACCACCCACCCTCGGGGGCGGCCAAGAGGGTGGTGATGACCAGAGGGGGGGTGGGTATCATGGCGGGAGCCATGATATCTCCCCAGATTTCATGGTGTCTCTTTTTGTTTCACGACATTCCCTGGCCCCCCATGGTCCGCGCATCTGCCTCGGACCATGATTTGCACACACCCCTCTAGGACGCCCCCCTCTTGGACGCCCCCGACCCCCCCCTCCACCCCCTGTCAGGGAAGGGAGAAAGGGAGGGGAATCGACTTAACTGCGACGTACCTTGTCCTTGTTTCTCAATTTCCCTAGGACTGGCGACGACGACGACGACGACGACGATGACGACGACGACGATGTCGACTCGAATGGAAAAGCGTGTCACACACGCCGAAGGGTCGGAGGGTTTGGGCGATTCGGAGCCCTCTTGGACCGTCTTGGCTAGTTTTTCAGGCCCCGTTTGCCCCTGGACAAGTCATGCGGGGGCACGCGGCAGATCCTGGGACCACCCGTAATGCTGGGCTGTGGGCCTGATAGTGGAGACCCATGCCAAGAAACACCCTTCTTGCCTCCCGAGTGCCCCGGGTGCCTTGGGCTTCGATAGTTTTGCGATGGAAAGCGTGACATTTTGGGGTCTCCGGGTTAGGTTTCTTGTGGAAGGTTTCTTGTGGTCGAGCCCCTACTGTATACAGAGTATTGACGTGCACAACACAGAGGACCCTAAAGGACCAGAGGACGCTCCACGTCGTGCCTCGGGGCACGCAGGCGGACCATCAAATAACTTGCCTCTTTCACAACGTACGTTCAAACACATATATGTGTCTACACAGAGAAGGTGTGCGTGAGTGCGCCGCGGTTATACATACAAGGAGCTCGATAATGTCGCGTTATTGCTTGAATCTTCAGCCTGCTGAATCATTACAAGGTCATGCTTTTCCATGGTGAACATGATGGAGCCTGTAGATGAGGAAGAGAAGCCTGCTGATTTCGGCACTGGCAGCGTCTTCGACGTCAAGGTGAGCCCTTCCTTGCTCGGTCGCACTTTCCTGACAATCGGGAGGACACATGCCAATCATCCGTGTGTGGTGGTGGTGCGTTCGTGGGCCGTTGGGGAAGGGGAGTTGCGTGGCGGGGCTGCCATTGCACGCTGGCCTTCCCATCAAGATTCGCATTACACAGATCGAGCAGAGAAATGCACCGCCCCGACCCCGCATGCCGGTGGCACCTGATCATCCTGCACTTCCTGCTGCTCCTCCTCTTGCCGTTGCTGGCACGACTCCTCTTCGAACCATTTCCTACTCCTCATCATCACCTCCAGCGTCTCCTCGTCTTACCAGGCTGAAGGTATCGCCTCCCACGTTAGCCTTGATGCCGCTCCCTGTTACTGCCCTCCCGAAATGTTTCTCTTGGACTGGGAAGACCAAGAGGATTGGGCTAAGCTGAGAAGCGGATAGCAACGCCAGACGCCGTGCTAATTAGTTCTTGCCTCCTTACGTGTCTGAGTGGCCTTCGGCTCAACACACCACCGTGCCTGGGTTGTAGTTCAGAGGCCTCTTGGAGGCGATTTTGGGGGTGTCTTGGGGAGTCTTGGGAGGCCTCTTGGGGCCTGATTTGGGCCTCCCGGGGCCTCTTCGGGCCTCTTGGGCGCACATCGGGGGCTTGTGAGGGGATATTGGGGCCGTCTTGAAGGGTGGAAGGCTCAACATGTCAGTTCGTGTTCCCCATCTTGGGCTCCTCTTAGGGGCATCTTGGGGGGCCTCTTGGGCCCTTTTTGGGGGCTCTTGGGCGGTTTTGGAGCGACCTTGGGCTCCTGTTAGGCCGTCTTGCACGCTCAGAAGACCGAGAAGGCGGCAACGCATTAACAACTGAAAAATAGTGGAGTTTGACGGGCTGGGCTTCTTGGGCCGCTTTCCAGAGGGCCCCAGGACGGTCCCTGGGGCCACCTGACATCACGTTGAGCGTGCGTGTCCCGAAGCGCCCTGGGCCCCTCGACGAGCCGCGCGGGGACCCCCGGGGAGCGCGCGGGGGCGCCCGGAACTGCGGGCCCCCTGAAGAGCATGCACAGAATTCACAGCACGGAGAGCTCGCACGGACCCGAGGATACGCCAACTCGTGCTTCAGGGCACGGTGGCGGATGACTCGGGGGTGGACAGGACCCCCACCAGTGACACGTCGATTAGCGAATTGTCCGTTTTCGGTTCTCGAGAGGGCGCCGCGGCCGTTATTTTCCAGGCTTGCGCCCGCCAGCTTTGGGCCTCAGGTCGTTTTCACTAAACCACGTTTTGCTAAAGGGAGGTCTGTCCATCCCCGAATGATAGCCTTGGCTTGGAGGAGAAAGCTGGTATCTGCTGCCAGCAAGAGAACAGCAGCAAGCTGGTGTCAAGAGGCCCCCCAAAGCTAGCGCCGCCACAGGAGACCAAGTCGGCCCAGTAGGCCCCCAAGGACGGGAACCGGCGGCGCTGTGACGGCGCAGGCGAGATCCCAAAGGGCGCCAAGAGGGACCGAGGCGGATCAAGAGGACCCGAGAGGCGCCCAAAGGACAGGAAAGGCAGCCGAGAATTTGCAGCCAACGAGCTGCACCACCTCGGTTGCCAGCCTGCAGGCCAGGGACTTCTCCCAGGCGTGCAGTGCATGGCAGGACCTGCCACGTCGGACCGCCGCTCTCGAAGCGGGCGGGGGCGCTGCAGAAGCATGTGCACACCGGCATGTGTCGACAGGACCGTCATTTTGCTTTTAAAGGAAGCAGAGAAAGAGAGTGCGTGGCAGCCTGTGGCATTCCAGCGCCGGATGTCCAGTCACTGAAAGGTCTGGACGCAGGGGGGCGCTTGGCGAATCCAAAGAAACGAAAACGCGTTTGTGGACCAACTCGTGCAAGTCCATATGGCCGATTGAAAACCAAGGCGTGTTCCCTTAGGGCATGTTTGTCCAGCTTGTCACCTACTTTTGTATGGCACCTCTTCGACGAAACTGTTCCAGGGCCTCCTCAGCAAACCGCTTTCGCCTCTCCGCTTGGAACTCGTGCTCCGAATTGACCATCGAACAAGTGCGCTCGTTGTGAACACCGGGCCTGGGGCGAACGCAGCTACGTTTGGCTTCGGGGTGGCACAGGCCAGAGACGTTCGTTCATCGATCGCTCGAAGTGATATTGCGTGCAGGCCTTGCGAGTGTCCCATCAGGTGAGGTCGGCGGACGAGTTCCACTTCGAATTGCCCGTGAAAGTGTACCTTGAGGATTTGGTTTGCATCATGGGGCTTGTCGGCGGAGGCTAACGGTGTGCGTCTGGACGTCGTCGTCTGTGGCGTCGTCATCGTTTGCGGCGCCGTCGTCGTTATCGCCTGCGTCGTCGTCACTGTCGTCGTAGTTCAGGACGACAGGTTACGTCGGAGGTCCCACCTGGCGCTGGGCGTTCGGGTGCACCTTCAAACAGGTGCTCCTCCAGATCTGAAAGCGCCACCTGGGCTATGCTCAAGACTCGAGTGTGAGCATGATTGCGGGATAGAGTGCGCCAATTGGTTAAAACCATATTTTCTCTGCTGTCTAATTTGACATTATATGTGTTAGCCAGCGCGGTCCCCAAACAGTGTGTTATTGTAAATAGATGTTTTGCGATGCATGCGGGGCGCTATATGTAGCGCAACAAATGTGGTACAATGGATGCTGCGCGATCTATGTGGTGCAAAGCATGTTGTGCTATCTATTGTGGTGCAGTCTATCTGGTGAAACCTACGTGGTGCAATATATGTTGCGCAGTAGAGGTTGAGCACAATGTGTGATGCAGCTAACGTGGTGCTGTAAACATAGATGTATGTGTACACATGCATGGTGTGCAATGTACGTGGCGCAATATACGTTGTGCAACTTATGTGGTCCAATATGTGGTGTGCCGCTTCTGTGCTGCAGTATTTGTTGTGAAATATGTATGGTGCAAGGTATATGGTGCAATTGAGTTTCAGAAACGAGTTGACACATTCCATGCTCTTGCAAACGTCCCACCCACCCACCCGCAACTTGGTTTGCAAAACACATGCGGTGGCGATTGCGATGAGTGCCTGGCGTTGGCTGGTCAATCTCTGCTGCCGCGCCAACCCAAGCACGCGCGCGCAGCGGCCAGCTAGTCTGGCGCGGCCGACGCGGCCGCGGTGGCGCTGACCGGTGGGCACAGCCCACCTGGCACTTCAGTGCAAGTCGCTGACTTGGGCGGGCGCGGTATCATGGTAATGCCCACAGCAATCAACACGATGATAATAGTAGCGATGCTGGTGACGATGTTGACACCGACGACGGCGCGGCCATTGCGACGCCGATGCTGATCACGCCGACGACGATGACGGCATCCTCGCGTCGGCGATGGGGGTTTTGGCAGGAGTTCGACATGCGCGCGCGGCCGACGCGCGAGAGTGGCCCGCATGGAATGATTTGACACGGATCGTGTCCCCCCCCCCCCCCAGCACGCGCGCAAGGACGTGCGAATGATCTCGGCATGCGGCGCCAGAGGCCCGCTTGGCAGAATTCCATGAGAATGTTGAGAAACCGATGATTAAGTAAAGAATTCGCAAAAGCGCGAGCGCACGCCTTTTTGAAAAGTGACGTTGTGAGACAATGTGTTTTACATAAGCGAAGATTTTTGACGGATTTGGGCATGCGCGCGCGACGACTCGCGCGCTCGCATGTCGTCCCATGTTTTGTGGGAGAAAAAAAAGACTCGCGACGGCGCGCGCGCAAGGGCGTTCAAACGATTTCAACATGCGCGCGCGAAGCCCGCTTGGTAGCACGATTTTAAAATAGTGGAAACCCAGTGGCTTTTTTTTTCAGAATTCGCAAGCGCGCGCTGTTTTGTTTGAATATCCTCGTTGCTGATCCATGTTTGTTATGGTTATTTGTTGGGGACACTCGATTTTCAAATCCGTCCGAAGCCAAACGTTTTTGAAGAAAATCGTCACGCGCGCGCGACAACGCGCGCGTGTGACTTCGTCACATGTGTTGCAAAGGTTGTTGAAGACTAGACTAGTGATTTATTGATGAACGAGTGCGCGCGCATATTTTTGCAGAGGGTGGCGGGGGGGGATACCGGCCCACCAGGGATGGCGCGAACTGAGATTGAAGATGAACGATGGGGCAGAATCTTGTGTGAATTGCAATGATCATCCTGGTGGTGGGGGGATGTTTTTTTTAAAAAAAAAAAAAAAAAAAAAAAAAAAAAAAAAAAAAAAAAAAAAAAAAAAAAAAAAAAAAAAAAAAACCACGTTGTGCAACCCATGTTGTGCATATATGTATATGTACTGTTATACAGGTATGTGCATATGTGTATATGTGTATACGTGTAAAGCTGTATATATGTGTATATACGCATGGACATATATATAAATATATATATACGTGTGTATACATAAACGCGTGCGTGGCCCATTTGATGTAGTTCAATATATGTGGTGCGCTGCGTATATGGATACATATATGGGTACGAATAAAAAAGAATTGTGCGTATTAGAACATCTGTGGTGTAGTCGACTGTTGCAGTTCACCCTGCGGATTTCGACATGTTCTTTCGCCCGACGCACGCGACTGGTTCGCATCGCATGATTTGACAGGCATCGTGCCCTCCCATTCTCCCAGCACGCGCGCAAGTGCGTTCGAATGATTTCGACGCGCGCGCGGAAGGCCCGATCGGTCGCATTCGATGGACATGCTGAAAACAAACAGCATGACTTCTTCAAAAGTGAATCGCAAGAGCGCGCGCGCTGACCCTTCTTGAAAAACATGTTGCAGTGTTTGTTCAAACTGTCTTCGGGGCGCTCGATTCTTGACATCCGTGAGAAACTTAGGTTTCTTGAAGGATTCCAGCACGCGCGCGCAACAATGCGAGCGTGTGCACGTTTGTTTCCCTACCTAGGCTCTGCCTAGAAGGGTTCTTACTCGGTATGCTTAAAGGGCCGGGCAGTGCAATTCGCCGCGGGCGGTTCCTCCAGTATCCGCCCCGCGGTTCCCCCAGTTACGTCCCCTTAGCTTAGCGTTGCTTATCTCATCTTAGCTTAGCTTATTTCATCTTAGCTTAACTTAGCTTCATTTTAGCTCAGGCTTATCTTAGCTAGCTTGCCTTCAGCTTAGCTTCGCTGACCTTTAGCATAGCAGAGCACAGCATAGCATAGCATAGCGTAGAATAGCATAGCGCAGCACATCATATCATAGCATAGCCCAACATAGCATATCATAGCGCAGCATAGCATTGCATAGCATAGCGCAGCACAGTACAGCACAGTACAGCATAGCACAGTGCAGCATAGCATAGCAGAGCATAGCATAGCAACTAATGCTGCTTTCCTAGGGGCTCCAACTTCTAGGTAGGGTTGCACTGGAGTAATGTTTGTTGCTAAACGGATTATTGTACATTGATACGTCTTGATGAACGGGTGCGCGCGCAGAGTATCATTTGACCAGGATGGGCCGGGGGTCGATACCAATGGGTTGGTTTTTTGAATGAACAATGTGGCAAAATCATATGTACACTGCACATCCGCACGGCGAACGGAGAATTTCAGCGGAGGGGGCTAGAAAGGAGAGTATATGCGGCGAAACGGATGTGGTTCGTTTTCAAGTCCAGTGCTCGCGCAATCATCCCACCCACCCACCCGCATTTTGGCTTGCAAAACCCATGCAACGGCGATTGGAATTATTGCTTGGCGCTGGCTGGCGCCTCGCTGCGGCCGCGCTAGCGCGCGCGGGCTCGCGCGCAGAGCGACCAAATAGTCTGGCGCGACCGACGCCGCCACGATGGCGCTGACCGCCAAGCACTCCCCAGCGCGTCTCGCAGGCCGCGCTGACGCTCGGGCACGTCAGAGCGAATCGGTGATTCGGGCAGGCACGGTTTCATGGTGACGTCGGCAACGGCAGACACAACGATGATAGTAGCGATGCTGGAGACGATGATGACGATGACAACGGCAATGCCAATGACGGCGCCGATGTTGATCACGCCGATGGCGATCATGGTGTCCACGTATCGGTGATGAAGGTGTTGGAATGCTTTCGACGCACGCGCGCGGCCGAAGGGCGCGAGAGGCCGCGTGGTAGTATTTGACAGAGATCGCGCCCCCCCCCCAGCATGCGCGCAAGGACGCCCGACACGCACGCGAGAGGCCCATTTGGTCGCATTTGAGGAATGTCTTGGAGGAAAAAAAGGTGGTTGCGTTGCCGCAAAAGATCGAAGGAGCGCACGCGCAGACTGTTTTGTATCATCTTGTTGCAAAGCCGTTGTTGCGAAATGTGTTTCCAGAACATTTTCGATCATGAATTCCCTCTGAAGCGTAGGGTTTTTGAAAGATTCCGGCATGTGCGCGCGACGACGCGCGCATGCCGATTCGGTCTTCTTGCGTTTGCCCTGAGTATTTGCAAATCTATGATTGGGAATGAACGAGTGCGCGCGCGTAGTATCATTCGACGAGGATGATGAGGGAGTGCGACGGGGCAGGATCATATGTACATTGTACTATCATAGAGCGAGGGCTGGTAAAACCTGGGGGGACCTGAGTGTCTTCGTAGGAGAAGAGAAATCACGCGGTGCTGAATATGTTGTGCAACGTGAGCGGATGCGGAGCGGAAACGGCGACCACACAGCAGCCATACCGACGGGCAGGCCCGGACGACGGGCGGCGACGGCGACGGGGCGGCGACGGCGACGACATAGCCGCCAGACCGCCAGACCAGCCCTGACGGCGGGCGGCGACGAGGCGGCGACTGGGCGGCGACGGCGACAACACAGCCGCCAAACCGCCACACCTGCCCAGACGACGGGCGGCGAGGCGTCGATGGCGACAAGATAGCCGCCAAACCGCAAACCCAGCCCAGACGACGGGCGGCGACGAGGCGGCGATGGCGACAGCATAGCCGCCAAACCGCTACGCTAGCCCAGCTCCTTAGAAGAAGTAAGAACCCCTAAGCATAAGCACTTTCGGGGGAACAGGTCGCTCTATTTCACTGTCTACAAAATCCGGCTGCCTGTCGCAAGTCCGAATGCCTTGTTAGTGGAACATGTGTCTTGTGTGTACCCCTTTTCTGGAGCCCGAGGCCACGCATACATAAGACCAACGGACATGAGATCTGTATTCGGAACCATACATGCTCATAAGCCTTCATGTTCGTACCTCGATGCATTCAAACTCACCTATCCAAGCACCCAATTACACAGATACGTACATGTTCATAGTATCATGCATGTAGTGGTGTGTACGTGATC